TTCTGGCTTCTGTTCCCTGTTTTACACTGACTCATCGGATCACATTGATGTAGCCTACCTTGTTTCCTTCAGTATAATGTAATTCTAATTGAGTTCTGCTGTGGATAGTACAGGCTTGAAATCATAACATAAATTCAGAACTTCAGTGTAATTTATGTGGTGTTTTAACCTGCTTTCTTCTTTGCCTAGACTATTGCATACAGCATTCTATGGGACCTGAAGTTCTTGATGAGGTATGCCTATTTAAAGTTTTTATCAAAACAGAATGAAACCTGTTGTCTGTTGCTGCCCCTCTCTGACAGAGGATGTGATCTTTGTACATAGTATTTGCTAGAAAGTTTTTTATAAATTATGCATTTACATTAAATAAGGAATGACAGCACTTAAAAAAAAAAATATCCATAGAGTCTGTGTTAAACTATAGACAGCAGGCTCAGTGCTGTAGAAAGGAAAGACTAATCCTAACCCACTAGGATCTAAGTGACTCTGCTATCAAGCTCCTTGCTGAGAGCTCACCAACAACTGTCTAGACTGGATCAGTAAGCTGCTATTATTTCCTAAATGGCTAAAATAGCAACTGTGCTTATGCATGACTGAAGCCATTTTCCAAGAAAATTAAGCATGTAGATATTAGAGTGGTTTCTGAGATTTTAAGTTTCTAACACGTTCTCTAAGCAGAAGACCGTTCTTAAACATGAGCTTTCTTGTCAAATCCGGAGCGATGGCGCTGTTACCTTTTAACCCTTCTCTTCTGAGGAGAGGGCAGGGGCAGCACAGGATCTATACTCTGTACAGGATCTACAACCCTGTAAATGTGTAACTTCTTTTAGCAGTATCGCTGTTCTGTTTTCTCAGAGCAACCTCTGAACTACTTTGGCATATATAGCTAAACCTGAGGTACAGAATAACTTCAGCACAACAGCTAAATTCATGCTGTAACAGATGCTAAGTAACTGTGCCTGAGCCGTGGGTGCTGGACTTCTCTGGCAGGCTGTGTGTGTCTACGCAGGCTTGTATAAATTGTTGTTGTGTACAATGCTGCTGTTTCAGCTGTGAAGTCTAATGCAGAGATGTATCGCAAGGTGCAGGGTAGGTCACTCCTCACTAGCACGCAGATCCTTAATTGAAATTGTCAGGTTAGACTTTAAATCTGTAGATCAGTGCAAACTAATAAGCTGCTCCCCTCCATTTCTATCTTTCTGTAGGAACCTTGCCCTTGGGGGAGGCTTGCTGCTGCTTTTGGCGGAGTCGCGCTCAGAGGGAAAGAGCATGTTTGCTGGTGTCCCTACCATGCGGGAAAGCTCTCCTAAGCAATACATGCAGCTGGGGGGCCGTGTGCTGCTGGTCCTCATGTTCATGACACTGCTACATTTTGATACGAACTTCTTTTCTGTAAGTATCTGAGTCTATGAGTTAAGGAACTAGAATGTAGTACCAACTGCCAGATTGGCTGCAGGACCTGCTCAAGGCTTATCATTTAAGTCTATTTTTTTAGTAGAATTCATACTTAGAAAACTTGCTAAGTCATCTATGCCATGACAACTTGTTCTGCTGAACTTATCCATGTTCTGTTCTGATGGTTTTGTATCTACTTTTGTATCTCTGTATTACCCATGTGTAAGCTTGTGGGTTTTTTCCCTTGCAGATTCTGCAGAACATTGTGGGCACAGCCCTGATTATCTTGGTGGCAATTGGCTTCAAGACTAAGCTGGCTGCCTTGACTCTAGTCATCTGGCTGTTTGGCATCAACATCTACTTCAATGCCTTCTGGACCGTCCCAGCCTACAAGCCCATGCACGACTTCCTCAAATATGATTTCTTCCAGACCATGTCTGTAATTGGAGGGCTCCTCCTTGTGGTTGCACTGGGCCCTGGTGGAGTCTCCATGGATGAGAAGAAAAAAGAGTGGTAACAGGAATAGCAACACTTCTTGGGACATAACATATTAAGTCCAGAACTGATTCTCTATGGATTCAACAAAAACTGCCAGCATTTTACACGTACATGCCCCCTTCCTATTAAAGGCACAGATGTTTTGAATTTGATTTACAGTGGCACCAGTAATACAATAGGTAAAATCCCGTTTCTTCAAGGAATGTTGCCTAGGCTTATTCTAACTTCCTAGATTTGGAACTAACCCAAGGAACCTGCATTTTGCTGATGCTTCAGTGAGTTGCAGTAGAACAGTTGCTGTCTTTAATGTCAGCAATGTTTTACAATTTGAAGTACTGTGAGCAGATACAGCTGTATCATTCGGTGTGCTGTTGGGTTCTAGCTATAACTAAAAAAGTGGATCCCCTTTCTCACCCTCATGAAAACTGTCTCATGCATAAGGAGTTCCATTGCTGGTTATAGCATTGTTTATCAAGGTGGAAAGCAGCATAAAAAAAAATTGTTTTGCTGCTCAGAGGCCTGTAATTCCATTTTGTTTAACAAGAGGGGAGGTCTTTCCTGCCCCCAAGTGGAAGGCAAAAAGAAAACCCTGAAAGTAGTTGTACCCCCCTCTAGGTAAGAAGAGGGGAGGAGGTTTCTAACATGTCCCAGTTCTGCTCTTGAGGGGAACAAGGGAGAATCCTGTATTGCTAATCAGGAATCCTGTATGGCTAATTGGATTTCAAGAAGGAAGAGGGGGAGATATTCCTGAAGAGACAGAATGTTAGATTCTGTTAAAATCCTGTGCCAAAAGAACTCTATTCAGCATTCTTTCCCCCAAAGTTGCCCCTCCTGAATTCCCAAGAAGGGAGTCAAGTTGTGCTGCAGATTCCATAATAAAAAAATCTCCTTTCTGCTATTAACCAGCTTATATCCATATATGCCCCAAATTCATATCTGAATTGCAGGTTATTGGTGAAAGTGTCTTCAGAATTACAGAAACTCCCCTTTTGCCTGTACTCAGTACATGCAAGATGAGGGCCATCTTCTAATCTCTAGTCTTTGCTTCTTAGATTCACTTATGTCAGTCTCTCAGCTGTAAAAGTCCCAGTTGGCTGAACAGTGGAAGAGCTGGGGTGCTGAACTCTAGAGTACAGCCCCTTCTCTCTGCCATCCCGGACCACCCCTGAGATGTGTAGGGAGGAAACGGGGAAGTCAGCTGTGTGCTGCTGTAGCCCCAGGTCTCAACTCTGTATGCAAAGTTACAGCTGAAGAATGCAAGTGCCAAGCCTGTGCAGTGAATCAGCAGCCAGGGATGCAACTTGCATGTTCAGAGAGGAACTCCTCAGTGTAATGGTGAGGAGGGAGGAAGGCCCTGTTTTCACCTCTCGGTGCCACAACCTCTGTGCCATGAACATCCTTAGTGCTGCTCAGAAGAGGCGTTTTGTCCTCTGCTAGTCAACTAGGTGAATCTCTTTCACTAGAATATGAAAGAATTCTAGAAAGCGTGAGCCCTGCCACCTTGCTATGGTTACGTTGATTCCCTGCACTGATGTCTCCCTTGAGAAAGCTGCTCAACTGATTGTTCAAGGAGTGATTCGGCTGAACGCCTCCAGCAGGAGCTGTTTACCAGGATCTCCTGGTAAGGACACTAACCTGGACAGTTCAGCTCAATGGTTGCATTTTAGGAGAGAAAACTAGGCTGAAAGAACTGACAACAGATAGAAGAGCACTGTTGAATGTTAAACCAGAGATTTCATCGTTATAAGGGGAAAATAGCCTATCTAATAGCAAGATGCGCTGCTGCTGAAGGGAATGAGTTGGTATGTGGGGGTAGATGGGAGGGGAAGCCAGCCTTTAAGTTCAGGTCACATAGAAGGCTTTCTTTTTTAAATAGGTTTTGCAAGAGAAGTTTTCAGCTCAAGTGTTCACTGTGCCTGTCCCTTCATAGCAGAACAAAATGGTCCTTTCAGTTATGGATACACAGCACGGGATGCTTTTGCTCAGCTTCACTGCAGGTCCTAGAATGGTTTTAGACTACATCAAGGCAGCCACTCACAGATATTTTAACTGCTGTTGATGTTCATACTATTTATAAATGGAGTGATAGAAAAAACTCCTGAAAGTAGCCCACAAGTTGGCTTTCTCAACTTCTTTGTGTCCTGTCTAAGGAGCTGTGTGGTGGACTAGTCTGAAACACTGACCCGTTTCCTCTGTGGAAATAAAGTCCCCTTTCCAACAAGAGACCCCAGAAAAGGAACTGATACTGTCCCTTGCAGCAGAAATATTTTGGTACTGAAGGGGCACAGTTAGGTGGAGGGCATTATAAGATATTTCTAGGCAGCGCAATATGCAGACTTACTGTGAGTCCTGATGCAGAAGATTCTGGTTTCCTACATACACTGCTGTATTCATGCATCTCCCAAAAATACAGTGACCTCTCCCCATGGCTGAGAAGCTCTCACAAGCAGGATGTCAGCTATCGATTGGCTCTGCAAAGTGTTCTGGAATTCATTCTGAATATATTTTTGCTTTCTATGTGGAAAAAGAAATAAGTATAAATTCTCATTTTATGCTGTATTTTGTACCTTAGTTGTGTTTGAAAATGTTTTGATTTTTGGAAACAATCAAAATAAAACAACGGCATCTTTGTATCCACTTGGCGTGTGTGACTGGTGCCGCTCCACAGACAGGCTGCCTGGAAGTGCTGGTTAGTGGTTGTCTCCTGTGCTTTCTCTCGCACCTACCGAAAGTTACTTTTCCATAAAGAGGTCTGAGCACTGGGCTGCCTGTACTTGACTGCAGCAGCAGCCTTCCCTGGGTGGTGGGGGGTGGCTTCAGGCTGTTAGAATACAACTTAATTCCACCTTCCTCTTCCCCTCCCCAGCTGTAACTGTTACCTGGAACAGGCAAACATTTCAGGCAGTCTTGTTATGCAACAGGCTTCAGGCGATGTATTTATCATAAAATTTATTTACAATTGGTTGCTTTCTTGAAGTTCTTGGATTTTTGATGATGACTCTTGAATTTCTTCTTTAAAGGGCCTGACTGTTTCTGTAGGGAAGAAAAAGTTAATCAGCTTATTTCCAAACCCCAAATCCAGCCCTGTCCAAGATAGCTTAAAGAGCAACCGAGTGTGGTCTCCTTTACCCACAGAGACAGAAGCAGCCAGCCAGGACGTCTCCTTGCCCTGTCCTTCTCTGACAGGCATACAGTTTCATTGGATAAACAGTGACAGTCCCCCTGGAGAAATGAGCCTGAACTTCATCCAGCCTTAACTTCCCAGTTTGATGCGGTTACAAAGGATCCAGCCCCTTCCTCTGGGGCTGCCTCAGAGAGTTAAAGGTTTATCCATCCTTATGAATGTCATAGGGTATGTCCTGTAAGGCAGGCTGTGGGCAGCTCCTCAAAAGAGGCAGAAAAAGAGTCCAGAAGGACCCTGTGACTTCAAAAGGGTTTAACTAGTGTTTCTGTATTTATGGGGAGGAAGATGATGGAACACCCAAGACACACTTTGGTCTCCCTGTTAAAGAGAATGTGCAGCAGGATCCCATCAAAACGAGCTATTTATACAGGCAGGAACATCCCTAGTTAGAGCAGACAGGATAAACATTTACTGGTAGTAATTCACACCTCAGGATGCGAGTCGGTGGCTGGCACATGGGGAAAGTCTGTTCTCCTGAACAGCTTTGCACCTTCTGCCGGTTCTCAGACAGGAATAGATCAGACAAACGCCTACAGGATGGGACCGTGGTTCCACGTTCCCCTGCTGCTGCACGAGGCAGCGTGACTCCCACCTTTCCCCTTTTGTTGCCAACTGCTCTGCTGACATCCATTCTTCCACCATCCTCTTTGTTCGTGTCACCATTCTGCTTGGCCCCCTCATCCTCACTGTCTGTGGCAAAGTCATCGCTGCCCGTTGTGGTCTGTGGAGCTGCTGGGCTTTTTTCTGGGAAGAGTGCAGCTAAAATACAAAGATGTATCTCAGGATCAGTTTCCTGTGTAGAGAGGCTCCGTGTCCCCCTAACTTTATTCTGAGGGCATCTCAAAGGTGATTTGTCAAGCTGCTTCCATTCTCTGAGCATATACGTGTCAGGGCTGAAGTACCTGGGAAAGAGACACACTGGTGTTTTATTAGAAACATGCCTGGTGCTCTCACTAGCCCCATTCTGAGAACTGTTCAGCACAGCCAGCTCTGTGTCTGCTCTCCTGTGGCAAGGCAGTGTCTCCAGGTTTAAGTCAGCAGCACGGCCTGACCAACTCCTGTTGGATGGGAGTACTTGCTCCAGAGATACCTATAGCAGCAAATCCCGGTGGATCTTGTATCCCTCCCCTCAGGCCTTACGTGATCCAGCTCTGGTTAGTACTTAGTGATAATTGCTATTTCTTATTGGGCAGTGGTGAGCTTTTCTGAAATCCAAGAACCCCTAACTGGATGGAAGCCACATGCCTCCGGCATGCGAGCAGCAGGGAGCAGTAAAAAGCAGCCCAGGAGAAAATGAGCCAACAAACTCTCTTCAGGACATAAATGACACCAACATTCTTACTCACGTGGGTACAGGTCGCTCATGCTGTCATCCGTCTCCTCTCCATCCTCATCGCTGGACTTTGGCTCCCAGAACTCCTCTTTTCTGTAAGGCTGCCTGCTCCCGTTCACTTGGTCATCAGGGTACGGTGTCCGCTGCTTCTTCTGTCGCAAGCAGGCAGGAACGTACTCCACTCCTTCCTTCTGGCACTCCTCATCTAATAGTGTGAGCAGCACTTAGCAAGGCTACCCGGTCACCTTACTCCTTATTTCCAGCTCTAGATTATATTAAATGTAACTCAAAAGCATGTTGAGCTCCAACTAATATACATTCATGTAATCTACAGAATGATACTATGGACCGTGAAAGACAGGAATGGTGTTAACGCAGCGACTGTACTGGATGGGTGAATCACCCTCTCTGGGGAAGTTTTAGAACTGCTCCTCTCAAGTAAGAATGTTCCAAGGTATTTGCTAGAGGCCTACTTCTCCCTGCATCTGGGATCTCCCTTCCTAGCTGAGGAGCACACACAGCAACAGCAGTACATTACTGTCAGTCTAAAGAAAATGCATCCCCTTCCTTCGCATAGAGCTACTGGAGTCTCAACTGCTCAGGGAAAACAGACGGTTGTATCTTCAGAAAAGCCACTTACATGTTTTTAGGGCCTTCTGATAGCGCTTCCCTTGGACATGACGCAGCACGTGCTCTGGAAACTTGTTGATGTGTCTGAGAGTGAGCTTGCAAAACAGCTGGTGTCTGACAGAAAGAAAGAAAGAGCCAGCAACAGAGTTTAAGTATGCTATTGCTCGATAACTATTCACTGACAAGCACTGTGCTCAAAGTTGATAAATTATCAAGATTTTTCCAGTCTCCCCAAACCCATAAAGACTCAAGAACTTTGTAGAGGTTGAACACTTTATGTCTGAGATTCAACAAAGTGTGAAGCATAACACACAAGAGGAAGAATACGTAGAGATTCTTTGTGCTGGGGACTATATGGGGCTCAAACTTGCCATAGTCGAACTCTCTGGCTGTCTTTATCAGCCGCTGATACTTCTTGCCATTAGTATAAGCCTGCAGCTCCGACAGCCGACATGGCATCTCGTGGCCTGTCAGCCTGCATCTTACCTGAAGAAAAACGTTGTCTGGTCAGGGAAGCTCAGGGGATTGATTACCCCAGGGCCGGGGAGGGCAGGAGAGATCTCAAGCTCCCACCAGCGTCCTCCCCCCCAGCACCTCCTCCGACTTCTACAGCGGGAGAAAAGCCTCCGGGCCAGGGAGCTCACTGGGGCCGAGCCCAGCTGCGGGGGCCCCTTCCCCGGCCTGCTACCAACCGGCCTTGTCCCCCTCACGAACCCCTTCGGGGACGCGGCCTCAGCATCCCCTCACGAACCCCTCGGGGAGGCGCCCCCTGTCCCCCCCACGGCCCCCCTCCGGGGAC